AAAAAATTTGATAAGGCTGCCTGTGCACCTATAAATAGTCAAAATGATTTTATTGAATTTGGTCAAAATGATTCAAAATGTTGCACTAAAGTCAATTATGCAGCCAAATATTTATATATAAACATCACTTAATTAATTAAAAGTTAGCGTTTCAAACACACTCAGTCCAAATAAGAAAGACTTTTAATAATGCGTTTAATGCCAAATGGTAATGTTTAATTTAATTATGGTTGAAATCATTATATATATATATTAACTATAATCTTGATGCATACACATAGAAAATCAACAGTCAAAAGATAGCATTTTTACCCTTGTATCATACTACTAATTAAAAGTTAAATAAAAGGAAAATAACTTAAAAAGTAATTAACACAACACATAGAAACCAATAAAGATTAGTATACCATTAAATGAAAATCTTAAAATTACGGTAGCCAAGATAATATTTCGAATTAAAAAAAAAAAACTCGAGCAGGCTCGGCCCGGGCTCGGCTCGTCCCGCTAAGGCTCGGGCCAATCCGATTTTTTTTTGCCGGGCTTTGCTCAGCTCTGACCTGAAAAAGCTCGGCCCAAAAAACCTCAAGCCGAACCCAAGTTTTTTTTTTTCGACTCGGGTTCGGCTCGTTGACATAGCTAACCATAAGTCAAAAAAAGAGTTTTCGACTTATATTGACTTAATAGTTGGATGAAAGATATCTTCGATAATTGAGATTGATATATATTCATATATCGTAATTGATCGGATCATATTGACAAAAGAATTATAATTTCACGAATGAACAAGTTTGGTTTGTCATATTACGTGAAACTTCTGTCACGTGTATTGCCATGACAAATTGCTAGATATCAATCTGAGACGTTGGATGTGAATTGATGATAAATAAAATGGGGTATTTTATTTTATTAATTTTGATTAGATCAAAAAAATAATTCACGTCATTAGGTATCATGATTAAAAACGTAATGAGTCACAAACAAGAGGAGAACCATAATAATGAGATTTATTAATTCATTAATTAACAAGTGTTGGACAATTAATTAGTTTGACTGCTTGTTAATATGCCTGAATTAATTAATTCATAAATCAAATTTAATTAATTAGATTAATTAAATATTAGACCGGATTAAGTTTAAGAGACGGATCAATCCCACTTGAATTTATATTAATAAACTATTAGAGTTTTAGAACAAATAGAACAAAACACAATTCATTTTATTGTTAGCACAAAAAAAGAGAAATCATAATTCTCTCATTTTTTGTTTCCTGCGTGAATTTTTATTGGAGGTTGAAGAATGGGTCAGCTAAGGATTGCAGATCGTGATTGTTCGTATTCCAATATTAGCAAAGGAATTTGTAGAATCTACTAAATGTGAAATCTTTGACGAGAATTGAAATTATTTTTATTGTACACAATGATACGAATAATATCACAATGATACGAATAATATCGACAATAATATCACAATGATACGAATAATATCAACAATAATATCATAGCGTAAATCATTGACTTTTCAGATGATTTTTTGAACTTTTTCTAAACCTCGATTTTCATCCACCGAAAGCATCAAGTACAATGACTTATTCAACAAGGATAGAATAAAGTGGCAAAAATGGAATAATCAAACAGCTATTTCCCTTTCATCTTTGATTCTGTGATGTCTTTACCATTAATTTCTTCATCAAAAACACAAAGAAATTGAATACTACTCATAAAATGATGAATTGTTGTAGGCCAAATAGACGAAAAAGTTTCTCCCCTCCCAATACTCCCCCTTCATCTGATATTCCATTACCATCTGATGAATATCAAGAAATCCCAGAAAACAAAAATGTAAAACATGAAGTTTTACTGAAGATTCAAGAATGCAAGGTTTATCTAATGGATGGAGGTGAAGCATTAGAACTTGCTAATGGAGATTTTACGCTTTTTCGACTATCGGATGAATGCGTTTCTCTTGCTACTACAATCAAAATTGGAGATGAACTTCAATGGCCACTCACAAAGGATGAACCTGTGGTGAAACTTGATGCCCTAAACTATCTCTTTTCATTGCCAATGAAAGATGGTAAGCCTTTGAGTTATGGGGTGACTTTTTCAGAGAAGATTAATGGAGAGAGTTTGGGAAATTTGGATTCTTTTCTTAAAGAGCATTCATTGTTCTTAACTGGTTCTTCTTCATCAAGAAGAAAGGAGGAGCTTAAATGGAAGGAGTTCGCGCCGACAGTTGATAATTATAACAGTGTTTTGGCTAAGGCAATTGCAGGAGGGACTGGTAAGATTGTTAAAGGGATTTTCACATGCAGCAATGCTTACACAAACATGGTAAGTTCTAACAATAGTGTGCATGTTTGGTACATACTACAGATGAATATGTTAAAACCATCTTGTCTAAAAGCTTAGGCTGCTACAAATTTATTTATTGACTGTATGGTTAAATTGTTCACATAAATTAGATGAAGCTAAATATTTATCTGTGATTAAGTTATATGCCACAAAATGGATAAGCAGGTGCAAAAGGGAGGGGAAACAATTTTGATTCGAGCAGTGGAGGACAAAAACTGGAAATCAACAAGTGCGAGTAAATACAATAACAATGGTTCTTCAAAGAATGGAGCTGTCTACAAAAGCCTTAAACGGTATACGCGCATAATCATCTTTCTTAACGAAAAAAGAAGTTAAAATCTTGTCTATTGTATCGTCTAGACATGCATTATAGTATTGACGAGAGAACAATTTTGTGTATGTTTGGTAAAGTTTTTTTTAGATTATAAGTTGTGGGTCCCATGTAATGTATGGATAAAAGATGTAGGTCCTACGAAATGTGTAAATAAAAATGATGTTTGATTAGTTTGTAAACTTGAAAAAGGTTTCCCAAACATAATCGGCAAGTAAATGATTCATATATGTATTAGCGATTAATTTTATCATTATAGTGTGAGGAAGCTGTCGAAGATGACGGAAAAGATGAGCAAAGCTATGCTTGACATCGTTGGCGTAGCAACTGGATCAGTAATGGCACCCGTGGTGGTTCGGTCCCAAGCCGGAAAGGCATTTCTCGCCATGGTTCCTGGAGAGGTTATTTTAGCTTCACTTGATGCAGTCGGTAAGCTATTTTAATTTTTCAGTAAAATCCCTTTTCAAAATTTAACTTGTGTATACTCTTAAATAAATATTTTCTGTTGAAAATAAAAAGGAAATTGCTTATGTTCTTGATCTTCTCAAATTACAGACAAAATAGTAGATGCAGCAGAAGCTGCTGAGAAGCAAACTATGACAACATCCTCTAGTGCAGTTACAAGAATGGTTACTAACAGGTATATATGGTGCACTTCTTCCATTATTAGCATGTTCAGCTGAGCTTAAAACTTTTACTTACAAGTACATTTACAAGTACACAAGTAAGTTTTAAAATAAATTATTCTTGATAAACAGATTTGGAGAGGGTGCAGGAGAGACAACAGAAGATGTTCTTGCAACAGCAGGGCATGTTGCAGGCACTGCTTGGAATGTGTTTAAAATAAGAAAAGCCATAAATCCTGCATCATCTGTTTCTTCAGGAGTGATGAAGAATGCAGCAAAACAAAGAAACCCATAGGGCCACAAGATCAATTGTTTGTTTGTATAAGAAAAACCACCTAATATGTGTTGTATTTCGCATAATATCGGCAACTTGTTATTTATTAACGATGGACAGTCTTGAAAGTTTTTAGTATAGATAGTGTCGACTAAGTATAACGGACTTGTTATTTATTGACAATGGACGGTTTCGAATGTTTTTAATATAGGTCGTGTCGACCAAGTATAACGGATTTATCACTATCATTCCTCATGTGCGAACACACAATAGTATCAAATATAAAAAAATTACTTAAATAAGTAAATTTTGAAATAAATAATTTTTTACTTATAAATATAATCACTTATAAGTAAAAAAAGATTTTTCTCATAGTTACTCACTCGTACTTACTTATAAATATAAAAAATTCACTTTAAGTAAAAGATTGCTTATAAGTAAAATAGAAAATTATAATCTAGTGGAAATGTGTAACTAGTATTTTTCAACTTTTGTCATTTGTATTTTTTAAATTAATTAATATTCATTCAAAGTCTAGTGCACAAGTGTAAGTTTCTTATTATGGTACTATTTTTGTCAATTTGCTTACATTTTTACATTTTTTATCCAATAAATATTGTATTTTATAGTAAGTAAAAGTGGGATGTTATAAACAACTTCACTCCTACAATTAATTAGTTAACTAACTTATATCACTCATCCAAATCAAATACACCAAATTTATCATCCAAAATCCCCAAATTAATGTGGAACCAACTAAAATTCCTCAAATCATAGTACCTCATCTGTTCAAAATAAAATCAAAACTATGATAACCCAAAAAAATTCAAAACATCCCAAAGATTTCTCATCTTCATATCTCCGTCCCTTTTACTCCAATTTTGAGTATCAATTTCAGTATCTTCTCTCTACAATTTAAAGATTATAGTATTTTTGAGCGAAATATAAAACCCGATAAGTGTCTTAGAATACCATGATTGACATGACAACATATAGTATATATAAGTTATCGAAGTACCAAATGTAACATATTCCCGTACACAATATAACAAAATGTTATATATACAACCACTAATTATTCAAGATTCACAGCAGAACATATCGTGATTCACAACATTCCATCTTTAATAAATTACATAATATTACTCCTTTAGACATGCCATAATTGCTATAGAATATGCAATATGATACGAAAATAAGCATTAATTTGTACACCAACAATAGTATATTTAAAAATGTTAAGACATTACAAGTTATATTATAGCAACACATCATCTAACGATATATTGCCTTACATTTCGAAATAAAAACTAAGATAAAACTATAACTTGCCAAACATGAATTTTCGTTATTTAGTAAAATGAAGTGATCGGAAATAGAAATTTCAAAATAATAAAAAAGGAGTTAAAATTTCAAAATTTTCATTATTAGGGAACGTGGTGAGTATTATCATAAAATAGATAAATGATAAAGCACTATAGTGGTTGTAACTCTACAGAGCTGGTCCCAAGACAAAGCCACTAAGGCAATGGCTTAGTGCCTCCAATTGGGCCTCCAAAGTTGAGGGCCTCAATTTTTATTTTTTTACCTGTTTAGTTTAATTATTTTTATATTTAAAATATTTTCATAATTTCTTTTGTACACACTTTTCATTTAAATATAAGTATGTTGTTTATTTAATATAGCTACGCTTGTAAAAAATTATGTATAAGAGATTTATACTAACTAGTAGTCTAAGGTCTCAAACTTTTCAGGGTCGACCCTGTAACTCTAGTTTGGAACTAGTTAGAAGAAAAAAGGTTAAAGTCTGGTGTTTCATGAAATAAACAATGTTCTTCAAAATTTAGGCATATTTGACTCACATTCCCTCTACAAAAAATGTGGATCGGTCCAGGACAGCCCGTTTCATTCACCCCAGTTGGAACATTTAGCCTAGAACAGTGGTGTCCGAATTGGGATTTAATTGTTGAATAATTCTACTTGTACATAAGTAGTTACAAAATATCTTACATATGAATGAGTTGTCAAAAGGAGAGCGGTGATTTTTTTTTTTTTAATTTGGTTTAAGAAATTCCGATACAGTCATATCTCATCATATCATGTGTAAAAATTATTATGTAAACTTATCGTGTAGACGTAGCACAACTGTTAATTGTTTAGGGAGGGTTTGCTTGGGGTTTGGCAAAGAATAGGGTTATCAGGTTGGAAACATTAAGCACGCAATAATGCTAGAAGTACATCATCATCTACATAATGGTGTACATAATGTTAATGTGTCAATCATCCAGTCATTGATGTGTCAGTGTCAAATTTGAATTAAAGGTCGGATGATTGCTACATTAGCATTATGTACACCATTATGTAGATGGTGATGTACTTCTAGCATTATCCATGGAAATATATTATATATTAGTGATGTAGGGGTGTATGTGTGTTTGGGGAGGGGGGTGGGGGGTGGGGAGGACTGTCCATCAGAGAACAAACTACACCATTTTTAATATATTCTTCATATTAAATATTAATACGACTTGACTAATTATCACTATCGTTTGTCTATAAAGAGAGGAAATAAGTAAAGAAAAAAAAAAAGAATGCAATGAAGACACGCCAAAGAGGCAAGTTTTTTGACAGTGTTCATGATTATTTAGTCGAACAAGGGATTCTATAGTCGAACCATCATACGTACACTATAAATTAAGCTAACATAACGTTTCTTGCAATCATACCTTTACGTAGCTCAACTAAGTATACTAATCTTAATAGTTATTAATTATAAGAGATTCAACTACACATGACGACATTTTCATTTTAGATTATTTCTTTTGACCGAAAAAAAAATGAATCTAATTTGCACTAAAGGGTTGTTTGAATGTATAATTTAAATAAATAATTTTTCTTTATCTGTATCTTTGTTAAACTTTCAGATAAAGAATTTGGGATTCTAGAAATTGGAATAAACCTAACTAATATATTATTATTTTTCTTTAAGAGCATTCCACTAACTCTCTCTACTTTCCAATCCTCTTTTTCGTACCCACAAAAGTATATACAAATATAAATGTACCATTCCAATGTGAAACTAAGAAAAAAAAAAGTTAAATGTTGCTAATTGTACTATTCTAAGCAATATTTTATCTAAAAGAGTGACAAATAGTATGACATGAGTTGATCAAATGAACCAATGACTTAAAAAGTTAGAAGGTGATAATGAAATATAAAAATGAACTTCGAGAATCATACCGAACACACTGAAATCATAGAAAGAAAAGAAAAAAGCAGTATGCATAAAGAAAATAAGTAGATTTTTTTAAAATTTCATTGGTTTTTAGAAAAATTAATTAGTGGGGGTGTCGTGCTTAGTTTAAAGTGTTATGAAGTTGGTGAATTACCTTTGGCATGAGGTGATTAGTTCATAATACTTTGCTAATCCAAACCAATTTCTCAAAATAATTTGTTTGTTTCAATATTTCCCAACTCAAATGCACCATTCACCCATGAGCCATTCATTTCATGTTCCCCATCTGTCGATTAGAAATTTGAATTGCAGTGAAATTGAAAACCAAAATTCTCAAATGAACCCTAAAATTTGTAATTAAGTTTTGTAAGATTTTATATAAAAAAAGACTAATTTGTAATTAAATTTTAAATATATTTATTGATTTTTACTATTAATTGATTATTTATTTATCTAATTAAGGTGATTCAAATTTTTTATATTTTTTAAAAATAATTTTTATTACATAGTCAAGGGGAAAGGGAAGGGGAAAGGGAAGGGGAAGGGGCAGGTGATGATGGGGATTGAACATCTACCTCATACCTATAAGAGAATTTTCTGCTCGATCTAAGTAAATTCTATTTTAAATGAAAGTATTCATAAGTATAGTGAATTCTATAAAAGTTTTAACATGAAAGTCTAATTTCATACAAATCTAAAAAAATCTATGAATCCCACAAAAGTCCATCACTTAAAATGTCTATACAAGTTTTTAATACATTCGTGGATTTTCGATACCGATTTTAATTATATAATCTATGAATCTAATAAATGAACTAATAATTTCAGTATTTCTAATTTCACTCGACTTGCAATTTTCTCTTGTCCTAATCTACGACATTTGTTGCTATCGCTTCAATTTCGAGCGAACATTTTCTACAATGGAACATGTGATGACGGCATTTTGTAACAAAATGGATGATAGTTATCATTTTTTGTGTTGCAGGTACGCTTAGCAAGGGACCGAGCATTCGCCCCTATTTGACAATTATTATCTGGTAAAATGGAGTTTTGAATAGTAATTTTTTGAGAATGTGGTTAAAAAGTATGAAAAAAATTTTGAATTTACGTTTAGAATGTTTTATTGTGTGAATATATGATTAAAACCGAATATATATATATATATATATATATATAAAATTTAAATAATGGTCGTCGAAAAGGGGTTTCATTTTTGGACAGTGCTAGAAAAACAGGGCAAAAAAACAGGGAATTGGATACAGACACACTTGGCATCAAAACATTGGGGGATGGGAAAATTTAAAAGAAAAACCAGCAAGTCAGGTGGCGCCACGTGTATCTGTTTTTTATCCCTTTGAGTGGCTTTATCCTTCATTTTTTCAGCAAATTCCAAATTGTGTGCACGTGATGATGAAATGACAAGTTGGTGAGACGTGGAAGCAACTTGGCATCCTCACGTACGGCAAACGAATTGTCTGTCCTGTGTACAACATGACTAGTCGGTAACTGAATCTGAACGTGAAATTGGTTCAAATTAGTGTGAATGCCGACAATCATATTTGTACCAATGATATGGCATTTTAGAAAAGACACCTTGATGCTTATTTTCATCACATTCCCAAATCAAATCATTGAATTCGTTTATGAGAACAATCATACTATGTGTACAAGGATTTTTGACAGACAGTTTGCCAATTGACACAATTTCACTGAGTGCTAGACAAAAAAAAAAATAAAATGAAATAAGCCAATCCACTGCTGCCACTTCATCATTTGTAATGCATCA